GTGACAGACTTCCGTTTTTTAAATAAAGTTGTGTTAGAACAAATTGAGATTGCAAATGCTATCATCTCCCAGCAGAATGGGCACATTTATGTTGTATGCTTTCAAACTGGCATTGTTCAAGCAGATTTGAGTGGTCCCCCCTCTGAATCCTTCCAAAATTTTCAGTGATCCCCCCCTTTTGGGCTCTCAGTTACGACTGATCCCCCCCTCTGTTCTCCTAAAAATCAAGTAATCCCCCCCAAAATCCTCCGACCCCCCCCAGGTGATAAATAATGACCGGTCCCTAAGACGGACATAGTGCCGGTTCCAGACTTCGGTCTTATAGAGAAAGTTATACTGTCGTGAAAGCTATTTTGGTGCTTCTTGGATGAGGACTTTTCTCGTTATCTTCCAGCTTAAAAAGACTTTTCTCAATCTTTTTATCGTTCCATTTAAGCAGCCCCGTTTCTATGGTCAAATCAGATTTCTTTCGATTTGGTTTCTCAGAGCGGTAAAATCCGAGAATTGTCTTGAATTCGAAGTTAAACTTCTCGCAAAAAATAGGGTAAATAAATGGATTGATTGCACTGTTAGCCACACCAAACCATGGCAAAATCAAAATCACTTCAAAAGGAATAGATCTCCAATAAATTTCTGGTGCAAATCTTCTTAGGACTTCTGCTGTATCTAATGGAAGCCAGCAGACTGCAAATACGACCACAATACAGATAAGCATTTTAGTTGGTTTGCGGCGGGTGGCTTTCATTCTTTTAATTATTTCTTCCGAGTGGTGGCCTGGGGCGGTGCTTTTCCACAGCCTCGCTCCTGTGAAGGTATACAGTGTTGCTATGGCTACCAAAGGAAAGATGTAGCTAAACACTACAAAAATTAGCGTGTAATTGCTTGATTTCATTCCACTGTTTTCCCATACTGGAACACAAACGTGCTTTTTGCCAACAGGCAAAACTGTCGCGATCACACCTTGTGGAACTGCGAGGGCAATTGCAATCAACCATATAAACACGATGCAACCTCCTAAACGAGGTTTTGTTAATATTTTTTGCAGTGGAAAGAACACGGCGCAGAAACGATCAACGCTTATAGCGAAGATGGTGTAAACGGAGCCTAAAATTGACAAGGCTTGGAGTGACATAGCCAGTCGACACGTGATCTGTCCCAAGATGCCTCCAAACCAGTCAAACTGGATAAAGAAAAACTTGACGAGGTACAAAATGACTGGTATCATTAATAAATCAGCTACTGCCAGGTTTGCAATAAGAAGATCTATTGTTGTACGTGCTTGTGTTCGGGCGCGGACAATGTGGATAACAATGGCGTTACCAATCAAATCGAGAATTAAAATGGTGGCTGCCAACACAGTAACAGCTATTTTCATGGTAATGCCTACTTCTAGCTCTATAGTGGTTGACTTTGGTGGCGTGGATACACTTCCTGTGGAACAATAAAAATCAGATAATCAGATTCATGTTTATAACTCCTGGCCAAATTGAAGCAATGAGTATATGTTATCTGGGAACAAAATTGTAAGGATTGGTGTCAAGAAATTGCTCGTCGAATGAGAGAAGGTCATTGTTGTTTTTTATAATTTTTTTTAATTATTATTTTATTTTATTTGCCACACAACAATAGAAAATGAATTACAAGTAATATGGGACAAGTAGAAAAAAGAAGAGGGGAAAGGAGACCAAACAGAAACTATAGGAGCTTATCAGTGAGAGGTTTGGCCTCCTCCAACTACGGGCTAGAGCTGGTTACTTCAGGTCGATCTATAGTAGACTATCACTAGCCTTTTTAGTTCAACATATCGAGGTCTCACAAAGCAGGATCTGCAACATGTTTCATCGCGCAAGGTTGAACCCTCGGCGCTGATCATGATCAATACTCAGGACTTAACTGAGAAATAAAGGTACTGTCAGACCCTCCAAACGGCTCGAATGACCCCATGGAAGTTGCGGTACTGTCCAAAGCTTTGATTGATTTGGCACAAAAAAATTTTGCCAAAACTCGTTATTACGAGCATAATTTTCATTTGTTTTTCCGGAGAAAAAGGGCTGCTAACATAATTTATATTTTTCACTTGTTCAGCAGCGCAAAATAGGTCATTCATGCAATCAACTTCTTTTACACGAGAGCTATCGTGTTGATAAGAGTAGTAAAACATCCTAAGAACCGATTTAGTTTAGCCTAAATTTCTGTTTAATAGTATGATCGTTGTGAGTGTGTCCCACTTGTTGCAAGGAGCTTTCAATATGACAATGGAAAAATAACGATTCCATTTTGAAATGTTTTATATAAAGGGCACTGTCTATCACTACATAGGAGAATAATTCATTTCTTCAGAAACAAAATAGCCTGAGAAAGCATGTGACATTTCGCGACGCCATCACTAGTTTTCCCGCGAAATGACGTCTGAGAACTGTGCGCAGAAATTCCATACTGATGACGTGTCACTACCCAGATTTGTGTAGTGCTTCTGATTGGCTGGAGCCTATGAATGGAGACATGCTAGCCCGCGAAAATTTAGTTCTTTGAAAAGAAGCCTTATTGCCTTGACAATTTCAATCGAAGCAGCTAAAAGCTTGAGAAAAGATAATGACATTAACAAACCTATTGTTGAATTATTCATCCTTGTGTGATAGCAATCAGCAGCACTCCTAAAAGATAAAAATTTCTTTTAAGAATCAAAACAAAGATGATGAAAATACAGTAAGAGACAAGTAACGAGTCTTAGCTTCAAGGTAAATAATTTAACCCTTTCTGCCGTTCCGTGAGAAAACTTCCCTTCAGAGCGACCAAAAAACCCATTTGCGCTACATGCGTTCACACATTCCTACTTACCGAGAATCATTAATTTTTTAAAGCGCTTTTTGTCAAAACAAAGATATAATCATACATGTGTAAGTCGCCTTATCATACTGAATTTAATCAAACTGCAAAATTCTGTAAAAATTTATTCTGCGTAGCAAGCGTTTCCGTCTGGTTTCGGAGCAAAGAAATACCGAGAAAGGGGACTTTCGGTTTTGACCGCGCGAGAAATGAAATGAGAGCTCCTAACCCGCACAGAAACGCTTGCTACGCAGGCTAGTAAAAATTGGCCTAAGCTCCGTGAAAGAAGGAAAAATAAATTTCCGGATATACTTCTGGTGTACATTTCTCAACAATATTGGCCATTTTAGGCTCATAACTAATAATAACTGGGGTTTACAGGTCAGTATTTACCCTAATGGACACTTCAGAACTGTAAGTTATTATTTAAGTATAAGTATTTTCAGTTAAAGTATATAGGAACATCAACTGTCATGAATTCAGTGTCACTGGATAGTGATTTATCAAATGGACAGCAGTATTCCTTTGACAAACAACAGCTGGGGCCTGTTTCGCAGCGAATCGTCAGGACCTCAAAGGATAGGTGACCGTTCACCTTTGTTTTAAAAAGAAATTAATAATTGAGACGTCAAATTTTACACATAAAGAAAAAAATAAGTAAAAAAATTGCTCCAATTTTTGTCTAACCATAGTTAATTAAACAATGGCCTAACAACATTGAAGAAATAAAAAATATTTGAATAACGTTGTCAAATTATTAACTTAATCGACAAACCGCGATATAAACAAGAAAAATCGCATTTTTTTCAATGCATTCAATTAATTTAATATTCTCAGAGAAAAAGACTATATCAAATTGTCCAACCCCATGTTAATGAGCGGATCATAGTATTAACGGACTTAATTCCACATCTATGTTTCTTGTAATAACGAAATATATGAATTTAAAAAGAAAGAAAAAAAAAACACAAGCGTGTAGTGTGCCAGAGATTTTTAAAGTAACTTTTCGTATTTGAATAATCAATAAAATAAAAATTGCAAAGTAAGTAAAATTTACCTGAATCTTTAGTTGGCCATCCTACATTTGCCAGCTAACTGCCATCGGTAAAGGCTATTTGCGATAACATATAAATGAGGCGAAACTCTTAGATTATTACCTTCATAAAAAAAATGATAAAAAATAAAGCAAAAAAAGTTTCCACTTAATTGAAATCATGCGCCTTCAATATACTAACCTTTTTCTTTGAATTCCCTGTATTCTCGAGATCTCAAGTCAGAGTTGCTATATGAAAAGGATAAAAACGCTGGGGTTAAAACTTGCCGCCATTTTTTCTGCCTTATTTTTTAATCAATACTTTCTTGCCAACAGAATTTCTAATCTAATAGTGCCCAGCTAAACTGTGAAAGGTTTGAACCCAAGAGTCATTTCAAAAGTAGGTTGAGTTTGATCGTCCGGGTAAACGTAGTTATTTTTCTCCTGTTACCAGCTGTTCATTCCTGTTAAATTCGTGTCTTCAAAACTAAAGGCATTACCTCAACATAAGTTGAAGAAATTCAAACCGTTTTGTTTTGAGTAAAAGTACAATGTGTAGTCCAAAGGGATTTTCCAAGCTCCAGACTCTGGTAATAAACAAATTAGTTCGCGTGTCTTATAATTCCTCACATTATGCAGGCAGAAATATCACTGATATCGAGGTAGAACAAAACTGACACTTTAAATTTCAATTACCTCGAGATCGAAAGCTGATTGGCTGTTTAAAGAGTATTGAATACAGCACCTGCTAAACGCTGTAATTGAAAAACTATGGTTATTGCTGAACTTTTTCACTGGCTTCAAAGACTTATGCTTAACTCTAAAAATAAAGGATTATTTCTAAATGAGTTTCTGATGATAAAACACGTATACCAATTAACAGCGTCTGGCAATGAAAACCAGAGCGAAAAGCTAATGGCAACTCCAAAAATGCCTGTGAAATTTCGGAATAAAAAAACGTCAATTATTCTATATAACCTCACACATTTAATGACAACTATGCAAATAACTCTGTTTTTTCAGATACGATTTGTCCTTAATTTCGACGTAACCGGATGACAGTCAGGAAAGAGCGGTTTAAAGAATGATTGCCTTAGATATATGTACTTCTGTTCACCCTGTAAAAATTTTCTTACCTACAGAGATTTTCGTGTAAATGTCCTATTTAATGGACCTGTTTCAAAAAATTAGCAATATTTAATCTTTTACTGAGTACACTTGTGCGGTAGGGTAACAGGACAACCACAGCAAATTGCTGTTTTGTGTATTAATAAAGGTATTGTTAATTTTTTAAGTACCAAGCATACGCAAGACATGCTCACAGGCTCACGAGACTACGGATTAACTCGGTGCTTAATTAAATTAAAAAACAAAAACAACAACAACAAAAAAAAAAACACACACAGCACAATAATTAATTGCACTACTCTGACTACTGTGTGGTGCTTCGCGGCTAAACGTTTTGGGTGGGTTCGATTGACCTTATTTAGGAATAGGAATACTTTCTGAACCATTTTGGAATAGCTTTAATTAAAAAGGAAAATAAATAAATAACAACATGGCAACAACAACAACAACAACAACAAAAATACGGTGTCAAGAGTCACCAGCATATAGACATTTGAATGTCTGACCTCCCAGAATAGGTTTCTTGGATTCCTCGTGAAGAAATTATGAAGAAAAGTGTCGGTCTTTTCCAGTATTAATTATTTACTTTGTTGCTGTGGCCATTTCCCTTAGGCTAATCCATAGAGATGCCGCGTTTTGTTGTATTTTTGAGAATAACTTGTGCAGGAAAACAAACAGTAAATACAATAATTCGGACGTTAAATGTCAATGCTGTTTACCGTCGCCATTAATATTGCAAGCTTTTAGGAACGATCAATTAAGGCGCACTGTATACAAGTACTAACAATAAAATGTAGTTTATTCACATGGCCTTAGAAATCGCTCATCAGTCAAAGAAACTTCAATAACATAACTATAAATTAAAATGTATTCCTGGTACACAAGTTTCACACACGAATGCCCTCTTAAATGACTACACTATCAGGATTTTCAAAATGAGTTTTGTTTTAGTGTCAAGATTAAGTTTGTATCTTATCGATAACGTTTAGTTTTTCTTCACTGGATTTATTGTTGGGAAATTGGCCGGAACTTTTAACGTGGACGTGACACATTTTGTGAAGCGGAAATGTAAATAAGTTCAAGCAAATACTCCACGTTCTTACTATCTGGAGACAAATTAAAAGCACGTCTTCTAATCAAACAGTCATGACAAACTAATGCATAAGAAAACAAAGAGAAATAAGAATTCAGCGAAAAAAGCGTTCAGTAAATGGAAAACCCACATCGAAACCTTTGTTTTTACTTTTACGACTACATAAAAAACCAAAGACATAAATTAAACAAGGAGAATGCTTTTGATAGCTGACCTTTTAAAAGTTACAAGAATTGAAAAGAGAGACCTGTGAGTTTATTTAAGCAATGTTTTGTTAAACATCGATACATTTACATATTTCATTTCATGTACGTTTTTAGTTAATTTCGTACTGTATTTGAGTTCTCCAGGCACAAGAGTTACAAAAATTAAACGAAAAAGGGAGCATATCCTTTTCTTCTTCAAAGTAAACGAGTGACGAATACCGGAAAAAAAACAAACGAAAAAGTGAATACATAAAAAGTGTACTTACATTTTGATTAAATCATTTAAACATTAAAGACAGGAACACTTACGAAATGAGTTCACGACAGTAACAAGGCGTTTTCTAATTTTTTTTATTAAGCAGAGTTGAAAACTGTAAAAACCAGCTCTGCATCTTAAGCCTTGTTGTTGTTTTAAACATTCAGTTTTCCACAACCACTCTGCCCTGGCGGAGTTCGGTTCGAAGAGAGAACCCATAGAAGAACTGAAGAAGAAAAAGAAGGTTTCTCACAAGAAGACAGTTTTTCTGATGTTCGACTTTCCTGCGTGAGTCTTTCACGTCAAGAGAAGAAGGAGAAAAAAGAGAGACCTCTGGAGGCCTCCGATGCGTTTTCTATCACGCATGCACTGGCGTTTCCTTAACAACCAGCAACGTTTTAGTCACGTGCGACATAACTTACAGAACCGGTTTGCGCGATAAGAACTGTGGGCTCAGAAATTTCCAGTCTCTGCAGTCTGAACAGGAAAAGCCCATTCCACATTAAAAAAAAAACAGTTTTGAAAACCAGTAAGTTTCGGAGACAAATGTGGTTGGCGGCAACACGAAAGAAGAGAGAGAGACCTCTGCTAGCAGAAAAGATGTTCAAACGGTATCCATGTAACACGACAAAGATCATCACGAACCCGAACCATAAGATAACACTGACATTTTGCCTACAAAATCAAGTCCTCTTCTTCCGTTTCTCCGCTTGCCCCATCATGCGGAAGATCTTTTTTCGTTCTTCTCTCTGTTTCTGTAATCGCTTCACATTTTTCTTCTCCTGTTCTGCGCGGAACACATTCCTTCTTTCCTGTATTTTCTCCTTTCGCCTTCGCTGTTTCTCTTTGTTGGCGGTGTAGAGTTGCTGCATTAAAATGAACGCCTGCAGAAAATGGAACGCGGATTAAAAAGACTCTTTGATAGATATGAGCAAGAAAACAATTTCACAACCAATCATTTTACCTCCTATCTGTAGAAACTACATAATCGTTACTTACGGATTTCTCTTTGGGTTCCATGACAACCGCTCGTTTGCTTTCCAGTGACGGTGTTGTTCTTTTCTTCATTAGTTTTGGTTTGGATTTAAACGGCAACTCCTTCTGAAGTTTGACGGGAATCTTGAGCGGATTAAAGTGTCGAGTAACGCGCTCAACAGGCTGTAATTAAAAATAAAAGATCACCTTCAACCTAACACTTCTTATGACAACGAAACAATTACATATCAACTTAAATAAGATGAAACCACAACTCTCATAGTACACGGCATTAATTTTCTTAGCTTCTATGGTGCAATGTAAATATTTGGTAAGATGAACGATAACATAGAAAGAGATAGCCTGTCTCTGCGTCCACTTTCTTTGTTACTAGCTGGTTACCAGAGGCCAGTTTTTTCTTCGCGTGCGGCGATCGAGTGCGACGGAGTCGAGGCCGACACTTCTTCATCCGAGGGCCAAGGCACGAGCGGCAAAGACGCTTTTCACTTAGGTCACTATAAAGACGTGACAGAAATCGGAAACCGCACATGAACAGTCTCTGGCACCCAAGATAGCTTTGTTAGTGAAATGTAAGTGAATTCGAATTCGAAAATAGTTATACGTGCGGATCGTTTTCACTCGCGTGGTCAGCAGCTCTGCAAATTTCTTGGAACAAAAAAGGGTTTTAACATCAACTCATGAGAAAAGGCTTCATTCCTTAGACGATTTTTTCGGTAACAAACATGGCCACCGTTTCATTGCTTTGTACAAGAATAGGGAGCTTTAGCACAACGACGGCGACGTCAACGAGAGCGGCAAAAAAGCAGAAGGTTTTATGATCAAAACAACAACTTCTCACGTGCAGCTTCCTTTTTTTGTACGTTTCTTTGCCGTAACTGTACGACTGCGACTTGAAATTACCTCAGGCGACGTTTTATGGAGGACATAAACACAAGCCTACAAATTTCTCTTTCTCCCTCTGAACTTGGTGGCGGTGCCCAAGAATTCAATTCCTGGGAAATTCACCAATATTTGAGATTTTACACCAATCGGAATAATCGCGACCAAGTTTGAAAAGCAGCGAATCTTTTTCAATAGTGATGTTTTCGATGCCGTCGTCATGTGAAAACGATCTCTGTATGTCCAAGTAAAGGAGGTGACTAACCTTGTACAACGAATCAGTATTCACAGGAGCTTTGAGTCCCAGATCCTTCCTCAACTGACCGACACTGCGCATGCCTTGCCATTTCTCTTTCTGATCCGGCGGCAGAAGTAGTGACGTGACAGGGTTGAAGAAATTTGGCACTGACACTGGGTACCAGGTCCTTATAAACACTATATCTAGTGAACCAAAATAACGACAAACTGATCACGTTTAATGCACAAATTTCGCAAATTCTTACAGACGTTTGTAATAGATAGGGTCCAGGATTTATCACTCCTTAAAAAAGAGGAATGACGAAAGGGACTTTTTCTTCCCAGCCTTCTAAGTCACTGACTAAAAAAACATCTTTCTCATGGATTTCGTACAGTGTAAATGAATCATCCACTTAAAAAACAACAACAACAACGAAACAAAAGGACTAACCACTGATCAGAATTTTATCTTCAAATGTTGCACGAAAAGCGCCCTCAGGAGTCTAAAAGAGAAAAGATTAGTGACCGTTTAAAGTCAACCCTATGACAGAAAAATAATCGATAAAGGTTGTTGGTGATCAACTGCAGATCAAAAAGTACGGACTACGCCGCGGAATGAAATACTGTAAACATACCTTAAGTGCACGCTTAACTTGTCCTCTTATACCGCTGACAGTCCGTATGGTAGCCCCTTCAAATTTTGCCACCTCTAGAGCAGAGTTGAACATTCCCTGCATAAAATAAAGTACAGTAAACAAACAAATGAATAAATGACACTACAAATCAGCGCGGGAACATGTACAAAAAAACACCCAGCCAATTTCCAAGTTAGTTGTCATAAACCTCTTTTCAAAGCAAGGTCCACTGCACAACCATTCATATGAAAATGAGTTTAAACCCTTCTAAATACCGAAATGACAGAATTCTCTACCCTTCCATATGCTTCAACTCATGCATACCCAATTCTCTTATATATCTTAAGCCTGAAAATGGTACCAGTTTTGGGTGGAGCTTTCCCTTACAGGCTACAATAGGAAGTACTCCCCCCTCCACATCCTAGGTACAGCCACCACGGACACACACACAGAAGACAAATACACCAAGAAGACCTCAATGGTCATGATACATTCTATTGTGAGTTTTCGAACTTTCTTTAGAGTTGGCTGCTTTAAGAGTAAACTATGTTTGTATGTTATTAACATAATACCCAGTTCATTAAGGAGATATTTTTTGCCCACAGAAGTTACACCTTTTCATACAGCCGTGAAGTTTATTTCAATACCCTTGGGAAATATGACAACGCCAAGCAAAAGTACTCTGAAAAAGATTACAATGTATTACCTTCACAAAGGCTGTGTTTTTGAAAATTTTCATGGGTGTTCCTGTTAACTTGAGTTTCTTAACAAGCTGTACAGACTTGTCTAAGTCCAACACAGTACCTGTCGCTGAAATACGAAAGTCAGCCTACGAATAAAAACTAAAATAGATAAGTAACGTATAAATTTATGTCGCTTCAAGAGAGGTAAATTTGAAGCAAGGCGGATACAGATATCTGTATAAGGCAACTTTTCTCTCTACTAACAGGCCTTCAAAAAGCTCAGAGAGATAAAGTTCATGTATCGTTTTCCTTTCGTTTTTATCTGCTCTAGAAACTTTTCGCCACTGCGGAACAGTTCATGATTCCGTTTATACTTCTATAACAGTCATACACAAGCTATACCCATGTCCCGCTCCTGTTCGTGTTTATTACGTAGTAATGCTTTCGCTTGGCTATTAGGGGTGGGATAGAAGTGGATCTGGGGTAAAACTGTTTCTTACCCCCACCTCCAGATGAAAAACGAACTCTGTTTCTCAGGGCCCCTTCACATGAGCCCGGTTGACCGGACTGGCCCGGTTTTCGAGATCCCGCCTTATCTCTAAATCCTTTGTAAAATTTTCGATGTGTTCATATGAGAGGGCGGGCTGGCTCGGTTCCCGAGATCTCGGTTTTTTCAACCGAGATCTCGGTAAGCGGGCTGGAAAGTTTGCCATATGAACACTTCACCCCGGTTACCGGGATGAACAGCGGGATGAATTCTAGCGTTCCGGATAGCATCGTCTTGCATTGCCTGCAGTATTTTCCATATCATAAGCATCCCATGAAACTGCAGTGATACAGCTTTAAGAGTTACCCGAGCTATGATAGGCCAGTAAGTTAAAATTTTTGTCTCGCCATGTTTGCTTTTTTTTCCGAATTTGGCGCCAGACCTGGTCACCAGGATCTTTGACCTTTTCTCATCTCGGAAACTGGGCTGAAATGTCTCATATGAACCCAAGGAGTAATGCATCCCGGTAACCGGACTCATAAGAAGAGGCCCTTAAAAGTACTGACATTATCACGACATCAACATCATCGAGAAGCCTGTCAGACGATTTTGTTAGCTTCTTTAGGGTTTGACCGTGCACAACGTTTAGTGTTGTTACTATTATTTGTGCCTTTTATTCATTCAGTTACAATTTGTACGCCAAAAACAAAAGATGTTTCACGCTCACGGAGCTCCAGTAGTAAAGTACAGTATCTTTATTAAATCTTCACTACGTGGCTATTCCTATTTAATTTACAAAATGGAACAAAGAAAGAAGAAGGAGAAAAAGACTAATTTACAGATCTAATTGTTAATAATAAATGGAAAATTAAAGTTTAATTAAATTAAAAATAGCTACGATAATATATCGTATATACTATATACATATACGTATACTTATTATTGACTTAAAAATGCTCTAACTATGACATATAAAAACTGTTTTAGTCATGCAATCAGTCACCTAGTTCTCGGTGTGACATAGCTCCAATTTTGCACCGCGCTTAAAGCTAGTGAGCGCTTCCAACATAAACTCTAAGTACCGTTGTTTCCAAGCCGGGTTTGGTAACCAGTCTCCAACACTATGTGTGTGACACGGTTCCGCATTTACAGCCCAACAAATGTTGCATTTTTTCTTTGTAACTGCGCGGAATAGAGTCCATCTCTATTTTCGGCCAATAACGCTTAGCATGTGGAATACTCAGTCTCCACCACTATGTGTGTGACACGGTTCCGCATTTATAGCCCAACAAATGTTGCATTTTTTCTTTGTAACTGCGCGGAATAGAGTCCATCTCTATTTTCGGCCAATAACGCTCAGCAGGTGGAATACCTGTTTCCAACGTTCAAAATCACTTAACAAAACTATTCAACATTGGTTCAACAAAGGTTTTAACATTAATAATTTTGTTGATCAAAAGCCAGCGTTAAACCGTGTGTCACTAGGTTAAGAATATAACCTTTCTTTGCGGAATCCCAATTATTTAAAAATTCAGCAAAAGGAAAGTCTGTTTAAATCACCGGGAGACTCGAAAAATCGGGGTTAGAGTTTAAGTCAGTGTTGGTTGGTTTTATAGCGAGGTTCGAGAAATCGGGATTCCAGTCTTACAGAATCAACGAAATTAGCAACTTCTCACTGCGGGATAAAACCTGAAGCTACCTTTAATTTCATTCGTCATTGGAAACACAGCCGCTATTGTTTTTAAGGGCTCGTAAGTTAATTAAAAAACTCGTTCCAAACAGTGCTATGAAAGTATTTCTTACCACGTTGCTTGCTGTGCTTTGAATAGCGAGAATACCAGTGCCAGGAGGCGCGATTGGTCCTGATAAGTAACAAAACGTTCGTTAATCTTATTTATCTTCTTTATTAACACGAACGTAACATGCAAAGGTGAAATGACGTAATATTGCACCATGGGAAAAGGGTCCCGAATTCATGCAGGGAAGAAAAACTTAGATCTTTATATTTCCGTTGACAGTACTTATAGCAAAGCCTAGTGGGGCCGTGCAAAACTTCAAACCCAAAAATAACGCTAGAAATTCTTTCTAAAAGGATCCAGGTGACTACAGTCGAACCTCTCCACAACGGCCACCTTGGGACAGACCAAAGTGCCGTTGTGGAGAGGTGGCCGCCATTGGGAGGTAGGGGTGTAACATGACAGATTTTTTTAGGGAGCACAAAATGTTTATTGTACTAATTTCATGCTTACTGTATCCCATAATGGTAATCCAGTCATAAATAATATATACATGTCGACTAGATAAAACATACAAAAAGCTTGAATTATGTTTTCAATCAAAATGTTAATGCTTACTGAAGCAGTATAAATGAAACAAAATCAAAATACGACTACCGCGAACAATCATCAACGGGTCATACGGATCAAATTTCATGACCATTTTTGACTTTTTTATCAGTCGCTAAACAACTGGCCATTGTCGAGAGGTTATTTTGGCAGTTGGGGACACGCTTTAGTGGCCGTTGCCGTTGTAGAGAGGTTTAAATAAGAGTAAATGTACGCACCGTCCGCCAGGACAAAATAAAGTGGTCATTGAAGAGAGTTATTGGAGGTTCGACTGAATTTACAAGCTTTGTCAAGGAGTTCAACTCATGGCTATCGAGAAACAAATCCAGCGAGCGGTCAGAGCGGGACTCGAGCGTTATGACCACTAGGGTCAAGATCGAGGGAGGAAGTATATTTTCTACGTACCAAATAAGGTAGCCATACAGTGCAAATGTTCTGGAGTGTACTTCAGCAGACGATGACGGCCATTGTGGTCCTGGATCGAGTACATAGGAAGCGTCTGAAATCTGCGCCAGCCAATAGACATGATCAGCGGATCTCGAGTCTTGAGTATGCGCTTGTGCCAACGGTGCTTTTTGAAACGGGCCTGGAAGGATATTATAACGCAAAAAAAGGTTTTTTGGGAATGCGAAACTAGTAAAAGCAATTAGCACAAACCGTGTTCTCTAGTGCACTCACCTGGAGAAATCCCATCTTATCCTCGCTAGAGAGAAGACCACCGAGAATGATTGGATATCTAGCATCAAAGTTGGTCACAAACTCACAGGGCATCTCACCTAACTGAAATTAATAAGAACAATAATGACTAAAAAATTAGCTGAAATAGTAGAGCTGGTTTAAGCCATTAAACTGAACTAAACTTCTATATGGCTGTGAGTCTTGGGTCCTAACATCCGGCCTTTGTTGTCAACTTTATTTCTTCCATACGTTTTGCCTTAGAATCATACTTGGTGTTTCTTGTACTGATCATGTTAGCAACGAGGTATTCCATGATAGAAAGGAAGCTGTTCCCCTTTCCCAATCAGTTAAAGCCCAACAGATCAGATTCATGGGCCATTTTCTTCGGTGCCACGAGGGGGACCTTATTTCTAAACACGCTCTGTACCAACCGGCACATGGTAAACCAAGACATGGTGGACGTAAAATTCTATTCTACGAATATGCTGCAGAGCTAATCAGTGCAGATCCCCCCTCTTCTCACGAAATTAGTTTTTTAGCACAGGACCGCAACACTTGGAAGCGTATGGAGGTCGACTGTTTGTTGGCACCACTGGGAACCACCATGAACGTCTCAGCCGAGCAGAGAGAGAGTAGTAACTAAATAGTGTGAACAGGATAACATATACTAATCTAACCTCCACTCTGACGTACACCCCTGGTCTGAACCCTTCATACTGCGCGCGTGTTTCATCGTCCATGTCTTGAAACTCAGACTGGTTTAGCTGATGACAGAAAGACAGACACAAAATAATGATTCTAAAAATTCAAAACTATTTCGTAAAATACTAAGGAATAAAAAGTACTATGCGAAACTACCGTTTCATTTGAACGGTCACACCATAGGACTTCATCCACAAACTCAAAAGTTAGAACTACACACTAAATACACATATACAACCATTTTACCTGCGCCTGTTCTGACATTTGCGCCTTCAGCTCTTCATAATACGAGTTTTCATCACCTTCATCATATCTAAATAACGTCAAGGGAATAACTCACACATTCAAGCTCAACCCAGAAGATAAACGAAAGTATAAACAAGTTTTATGCTCGACAAAAAGGCTAGAAAGGATACATCGCATCAAAAGCAGCTTTCTGTTTCCTCTTCTTTTCAATTCTGCTAGTTTCTTCTCCTTCGGGATCCTTCCCATCTGTTTCGTCTCCATCGGACTCCTCTCCCTCCCCCTGTGGGGTTTCGTTGGCAGCCGCTTTGTGGACTTCTCCGGTCTCCAGATCTTCAAAGTCTCCAAATATTTCTTCATCATCTGACACTAGCGGTTCAACAAAACAGATCAAGGACGCTTTCATTTCAATATAGCACTAAGTAAAAGGGAAGCTAGAAAGACTGAGGAGTGTAAACGTTCATGAACGTCCTGAACAAGAAACGTAATACATGGAAAAATTTGAAAATCAACCCTTACATTTAATGATGGAAAGCTAAAACAGAGTGATACTGAAACTAATGATGCTTACGCATGAAAAATAATACACCTCTAGAAACACTGTAAGTTTCAAGTAGAAGTAGTTTTTTTGCAGCTCAAATAAGGACAAACCAGGCCGCCTGTTACGATGGAGTGAAGCCCTGAAGATGTGACTATCCGAGGGCCAAGAAACTCTGGCCTTTTTAAAAAGGTTTACAGATAAGAAAATCACCAATAGTAGTTGAAAAACAAGGTGGTCCTGTAAACAAGCTGGTCATAAGGAGTGGGGAGTTCCTCACGGCCTTTTAAACGTATTTTTCTAATAATTAAATACTTCACATACATTGATCATCGTGTTGAAGTAACGCTTCAGCATCTTCAGAATCTTTCCATTTGCCAGTGACGAAACAGTCCCGTATGCTCTGAAGCACTTCCGGTTGGCTCCAGTCTCTTACCGATGTACTGGCCGGCTCTAGTGTGCAGTCTCTCTCGTGCATGGTTCCTAAGCGTCTCGAATCTTTTTTGGTCTTAAGTCTGAAAATACCTCCTACTGTGTCGTTATCACTGTCGGAATCTGCATCTTGTTCCTTGGTTTTATGAAGAACTGAAAACATGTTTAAGAAAGCAAAATGAAGAGATATAAATACACTTTAATACAGTGGAACTTCAATATGACGAACCTCTATATCACGAAGTACTCGAGACAACGGTATTTTTCGCTCCAGTAACAGTAAATGTAGGAAAAAAAAATCTTCGTTTTTGCCAGTCCCTTGGCCATTCGTTATATCGAGGTTCCATTATACTACATTTCAAGAGGCATGTTGCAAGCAGAGTTTGTTTTTAATTGCTCATCCTAATACATGTAAAAAACGTCTTCCACTGCTAGGAAGAATTTCAGGCGATATACTGTAAACAAAGGGAGAGAAGACTGAGGACGAAGCAAGAGCTGAATAGGAAGAAAGAGACTGTTATAAACCACAAAAATTGAAACAGTTTGGATACAGGGAGGAGAGGGGTGGGGACGGGGAAGACAAAGGAAAAACAACAACAACAACAACAACAACAACAACAACAACAATAATGATCATCTGCCCGTTTCATTCCTGGGCCCCGTGGTCATGAAGTTCAAATCCTACCGCTGCCGTACACAAGCTTCTGTAGGTTTGTAGTGTCTTGTTGGCGACGGAGAAAGGCTGCTGCAGCTTTCTGCGCCAAGTTTTCTTTCCACCTCAAGGAACCTTCAAATCAGATTTTAAAAAAAACCGAGATCTATAAGCCTGGATTCTGAGTGAAGAACATCTAAAAAGGCATTACTTACCAGGAAAAGCACAACATGCAAATAAATAAATAATACATAGATAAAAAATAAATGAAATAATAAAACTCGTCAAGTCATTTTAAATGAGCATTCCTATTGATCGATTTCACATGACGTGACGTCCACCATAATTTATTGGTGTCCCAAAAAAGGGAAACGGCGGTCACCTTCGGGGTCGAACGACGTACGCTGCTCTGAATGACATGTTATATAAAAAAATTTTCTGGAATTTATTCCATGATAGCACTTGACATTATTAATTCAGTTTTTATTTTACTAATACTTAATAACAAGCTTGATGGTCTGCACAAAATTCTGGAAGCTTATTGGCTAAGTGAAGTGTGTTATAATCTATATTACGCACGTCAAAGAGGTCCATTCCTCAAGTAAACATTTCACGAATTCTATGCATTAATTTACCTTAAACTGGATTTATTTATGTCGCTGTTTGCATAAAGTACGCTAGTTAGCGTGTTTATCTATTGAACTGGAAGACTCTCGCTCGCCTATTAACTTGTTAATTGTGAGAAAATTACTTACTACATTAATCATCTAGAAATCAAGTTAAAAGCAGATATCTATTTCAATTGAGGCCAATTTAGTTATCCATTCAGCATACCTTCTTCCTGTAATTCAACACTCGAATCCTCATCCTCCTCATCTTGTTCACCATCCAAATCCTCTGCATCAGATTCTTCATTTCCGTCCTCACTATCAATGGTTTCCTTAGATTTTTTATCCATGCTTTCCTCAGGCTTTGCCCCTTCAACCCCTTTCTTTTCCTTTAATTTGGCACTTTTCCCTTGGTTGGTAGAAAGAACTTCTAACTTTTGTTCTGAACTTTTTGTTTCCTTTTTCGACTTCTTCTTAACAACATGCTCATTGTCGTTTTTTCCATTTGACACGTGTGTTATTTTTCGTTTTCTCCTTGATGTTTCAATCTTTGAGTCTGATTCTGAGTCGCTGGATGATTGTTTGTTAAAATCGTTATTGTTCTGTTCACCAGACCCTGAGACATCAACTTCATCACTCTCGTCTGGTTCTGAAACTTCTTCTGAATTTTCGTCTGCCGGACGTTTTGTAGTCCTATTTGAGCTTGTCAACCGCTTTTTTGACAACTGTTCCTTTTTTTTTGGTTTACTAGATTTAAAATTGAAAACTATTTCTTCATCGTTCTCAGCTTCACTTCCACTGTCCATATCATCACTCTCATCGTCGACGTCATCCTCAAATATTTCAACGTCTTTTTGACTATCGTCATTATCTTCGTTGTCATTCATGATGACGTAATTCTCCTCTATATCATCATCCTCATCATCGTCATTATCATAATCATCGTCATCACTATTATCTGCATCATGAAACTTATTTTTTTCGTCCCTTAATTTGTTAGTTTCACCATCCTCCTCTTGATCACCTTCGAAAAGAGCTCTTCTTCTTGTGCGGCCATTCTCGTCTGTCACAACTAGCTCTGAAGGTTGTCTTAAGGTTTCATCCCTAAAAAATTGAAATTACTGAGAGTTTTTTCTTTTAAGATGTACTATAAGTAAACCATAAAATTCAACTCACAACATGTATTAAGGCCGATAAGTTCATTCTTGCAAGTAATCAAAAAAGGATATTGCAATAAAGATATTGACACTTACTCGACAACTTCATCAGGGGCTATACAAGCACCATCCTGAATGGAAAGAAATTATTAATAACGACATTCTTTATAAGAAAACCCTGTAACACTGTATATTGTGTAGTTCTGTGTGCGAGAAAACGACCCAACGCAAATGTAACAGAAACGTTTGCATTTATGCTTACCCACTCCTACCATTCATGTGCATGGATAAAAACTGCCCACCTACCCCTCCCATAAGCTAACATTTACACTTAGGGCAAAATGTTGGCTTAGGGGAGGGGTAGGTGGGCAGTTTCTCAGAAACCTAGATTGATCCAAAATTTTCTAAGGTTATTAAGGATTACACTTAAAAAGGAAATTTATCATTATTATTTTTTTTTAAAACTGCCTTACGCTGTAACTTGAAGTTGAATTTGAAGTCTGAGGTCCAAAAAGATGCATTTGTTGAGGTTCAGTTTTATCGTTGGTTTAATTTTAATTTTCTTTTGTTTCAAACTCATTATCATACCTCAAAACAAAGGAAAATGAAAATGAAACCAAGGATAAAATTGAACCACAACACATTTTTATTTGTGTTACAACAGCATAAAAGTAAGTTTACATAAATTTACAGCATACACTGCACCTGAAAAATTTACTCACCTTAAATAATGTTAGATGACTAGTCATCATTTTGGTGTCAATCGTTTGCTTTGCGTCAATCAAAGATGACACTAATTCATTGCTTGGTCTACTGTCCACCTAAAATAAAATAATGTTATCATTAAAATGCATTGTATTAACCACTAAAAGTAGTTAATACAAGATACTAAATTTCATTTTTAGAACCCAATATCTTGTATTAACTACTTTTAGCAGCATTTATGTGTTAACAAATTTTGAAATAATTAGTTTAGCTGTAGTGATAAATCTGAATTATTGCAATAACTAATTTTTAGGTAAAAGTGTTTCTCCTTAGAAATGCTAGAAGATTTTGACACTTACAGATAAATAAAGTTTGTATGTATGTAAGTCATTCAACAATGTACAAAAATGCAATAAAGTAACTACTTTGATATATATTGATAAGAAAATGCTGAATCACCTGTATTGAAGATTTGGAATTTTTGCTTGCAGCCTGACTTCCACCAAGGTCAATGTACACAGCATCCTAGAAAGAAGTAGCAAGCACCAGTATGAAGTTAAATTATTCTGAACATATCATGCAGCTCATTTAATCCAACTGCTTCATAAATAAATGCAGATCCTTCTTTAGCAAGGGTAAGGTTCTTTTTCATTCTGATGGTTTGGGCCAAACAAAATGAATAAAAACCAGTTGGAAGTATGCAATTGAGTCTTAACATTGTATGTTTCTCAAAAATGATCCCTTTCAGCAAAGTGGTTAAGGCACTTAAGGATCCCATGAGCCAATTTCTAAAGGGCATGGGTTTCAACAGTAAAGGAATGCAGTGAATGCCATTCTTTGAATGGATAACAAATTATTTTTACTTTTTTTCACTTCTTAATAATTAATGTACACTGTAGTCACATTCATTCTGTTGGGTGCCTATTTTTTGAAGCGATCTTAGGAGCAAACATGTTAAGAATAATTTAAGATATTTTTTACCTTGTCATATACTACTCCTCCAACTCCAGACAAAGGTGCATAAATAAGGCGTTCCTTTTCATTCAGTGAACGCTTCTTTTCAGCATTTGGAAGGGGACATGGGTCAGGTAGAAGGCTTATTTCTTTGAGAGTATGATCTCCACAACCTACAAGAACATGTTAGAATATAAAGTTATACATGAACTTTATACACGAGACTATCAACAATGACACAATCTGTTACTAACAGTGTCCCATATTCATTGATATTGGTTAACTTGCAAGTGCATTTAACCACAGTAATGCATAACCTGAATTTCACATGATTACTTCGAGTCGTTTTCTCCTCTCAGCAATGTCTGTTACTGAGGGAGTAAAAACAACTCAATGTAATTGTCTGAGATTCAGGCTACATGTAAGTGATGCAAAATTAAACACCCTTTTTATTCAAAGCATAGAGTGTTTATTACAAGTTAATACTGACATAGTCATACAATGACATTCAACTCACCAATAATGTGCACTCTAGAGTTGTGCTTAAGATGAGTCCCTCTTACATATCCATACAATGACACTTTCCTGTCAGACTTGGGATTTTGCCGAATGAGCTCTGGGTCTGTCAGCTCTTCCATTCTGAAAACATAAACTTCTAATAAGGAAGAAAACTATTTGCTAGGGTGAGTACAACAAATATGACTCAGTAAGATAGCTACTTGACTAAGTGCTTGATCAGTTTCTTTTTTGTTGTTGGAGGTGCAATGTATATGCACACATACTGGTAAGTCTTGTGAGAGATGAATCATAACAACAACTCTTTCTACTTGACAGTCAAGCATCTTGAACAACTCTAATCTGTTATTTAGCTCTATTTATATAATTATTTAATTTAAATAGTTTTTCATAAGTACTGTTTAACCTCCACCCACTTGTAACCGCTCTGTGGTAGTAGCTAACTCACAAGCTTGGCTCTGTTGGCTGCTACACACTTTTTTCCTTTGTTATGTTTAATTCACTGTCTAGTTAGCTTTGTTTTTACTTCTCTTTTTTCTTAGTGTTGTTGTATTGTAATTGAATAAGTGTGAATGTATATGAACTTGAACTTGAAATTGAACAACAACAGCAATTTTATAATAACCACAATAATTACCAGAAGTACAACACAACACTCTTTTTTTTAAAATAATAAAATAATCTTGTTATATATGCAGTCATTTTTAATAAAATGTTATTACTTGAAATTGAACAACAACAGCAATTTTATAATAACCACAATAATTACCAGAAGTACAACACAACACTCTTTTTTTTAAAATAATAAAATAATCTTGTTATATATGCAGTCATTTTTAATAAAATGTTATGGGTTCTCCACATCTTTGCTGTAGTGGTTTACTAAATAATACAGTGAATGGAACATGTTTTTTATGTAGTACATACCTGTCTGCTAAGATATAAGGATGTGAAACACGCCAAGTCAGTGGTCGGAATTTTGTGACAGAAATAAACCTGCCTAGGTTGTGTACCTCTACTTTGGGATAAGAACCATAAACCAGACCAGACAAGTAGAACAATTTTGCTCCCTACAAAAAAAACATGAGAACAAAAACAATTACCACAACATTCAAATTCTGATTACATACTTATTACTAATAATCATTATGGTAGCCGCACTTTATTTTGAGATATATCTGTACTTTGAGAAGCTTGTATGGAGCTCAAAGAGGATGATCTCTATATTAATGAAAAAAGTTGTTTTTTCACCTTTTATGCTGTACATACCTACATGATCTGATTTACAGCTCTACCAGCCTGTACATGCATGACATATATTTATATACATGTATACAGGTACTAACTCCAAAAACAAAAATATTAACATCTCCTGTCAAAACTCTGAAGTTCAAGGTTGCATGTGACATCAGTTTACGGCATATTAATGTTATTTAGAACTGCAAATAAACCGTATAATAACTTATGTACCTGGTACACTTCAGTCCAAAATCTAGTTTTCAATTTCTTCTTGGTCTTCTTGAGAGATTTATTATCCTTCAACAGATCTAGGTGAGTCAGCACTCCAATGATTTTGGGAAAACCATGCACTTGGCAGACATTCAGAAATTCAAAAATTTCCATTTCAAACCCAAAGCTGGCATCAATAAGAAGAAGGACCTGATATAACCAAAAAAAATTTAACTCTTTACAACAAAGATTAGAATTGGGATTTAAATACTGAATAAATCAAATTACTTTAATGTAAAGAAAGGCCTATTTAACTGCAGTTCTCTGTTGTACTGTTTTTTTCTTTTTTTTAATAAAAATAAATAAAACTATTAATGCCAGAAAAGGTCTTGAAGTTCCTGGCCATGTCAATAAAACACAAAATGTTGCCTAGCTGCCATGTACATGCAATAGATTCCTATTAATTCAAAAGCCAAAAAAAGAGAGATAAACTGCCCTCTTGGATTTGACTGACTACCCAATGTTGAGTAAAGAAAAGCCTACACTTTCACCATAATTTTTGAAGAGGAACTTAAGGTACTACTTTAAATACTATACTGTCTCTAATGTTACTTGAACATACCAGATCTGCAATTTTGGCCACATCAATCATTGAGTTGATATCATTGTTGCATTCCAGCAAGGTAAGGCGTCTTTTCTTTCCTAATTATACGGAGATAAAAGTAACTTAATGATATCTGTATAAATTATGTGTGCTCAAAACTTCAAAACCTTGTGTTCCCAATGTTGTTGCCATAGAGAGGTTTGACTGTAACTACGTGCTCTCCATTTGTGCCAAAATTTTTGGAAATTTCAGTTGAGAAATAAATGGAATGCTTCAGTCTGCATGGTGCTGCTGAGGGCTATTACAGAACACTTGCATGCTGAAGTGCCAGTAGGGGATGTGATGAGCTGTCCAAACAGACTCGGTACATTGAAAGCTGATGGTCCTGATGGAATTCCTCCCCAGCTCATAAAGGAATGCAGCACCCAAATCGCCCCAGGTTTGTGCGTGATCTTCAACCAATCAATCTGCACAGGTCAAATTCCTGAGGAATTAAAATCTGCAGACGTACAATGTAACATCCATCCACTAAAAGAATGCAAAGGAAGCTGCAGGAAATTTACAGTCCATCTTGCTTCCGCCCATTGTGAGCAAAGTTCTGGAGCGACTGGTTTTCAATCGTCTTTTAACCATCCGAAGAAAGTAATAACTCATCTTAAGCACAGGTTTTTAAGGAGCTATTCATGTGTTACTCAGCTTCTATCTGTTCTACATGAAATCGGGGAATATTTACACAAGCACATGCGGACAGATATTATTTACTTGGACTTTGCAAAGGCTTTTGATTCTGCCGACCACAACGTCGTTCTCGCCAAGCTGAGGGCATGCAGTGCCATGGTTTAAGAACTGCCTGAGAGAGAAGGTCCAATGTGTTGTGGTTGATGGCACAGCCTCACAACGAGTCCCTGTCACAGGTTAAAGTGACTGTGCCTACCACACTCACCTCCTTTTACCTTTTTCACTTCCGTTAATGTACATCTAGGGTTCTTTCCAAGGGTAAAATAAGTTAATTGAGATCAGGGCAGTGCCTGGCATGGGTCTATGATATCATTTACACTTGCCGTTTCGAGGATCTGCAATTGTTCTTTAATTATTATTATCATCATTGTCATTATTTTATTTCTTTAATCATGTGTTTAGCTTGTTTATTCTTTCATGACTGCAGTTTTTCTCCAATAAAGTATCAAAATAGAAATAAAATTTTCCAATCAAAGTGGTCCACCTCCCATTGTGGTCCCCCTTGGTCGATCCGGTCCGACCAAAACTTTCCATTCCATTTACAAAACGTCTTGTTTCTAGTCCTACTTTACAGTAGAGTACTCTACAGTACTACAGTAATCAAAATTTTGGTCAAAACCCAAATGGAACGCTCCAGTTCAATTGAAAACTTTGTTTCAATCAAACAATGTCGTTCCAGTTTCTCTTGATAATTCCAACGTTTTCTGACTGTTTGGTTTGGCAAAATGGAAAGCACCCTACAGCTGTATTTCATATGTGAGCATGCTCAATCGTACATGTAGTAGTAACAGTAGGGAGGGATGAAAGGGGATTCATAAATTATCTGCTAGTGAGTTTGGACTGCAGGTGAGTTTGGAGTGTGAATGCCACTCTACAGAGTATCCAAGTCTAATACTGTGATTCCAAGCCCTGAACTAGACACTGGCTGTTTCACTGTAGACTTAAATTCAATCCATTGGGTACTAATATTGTCCATAGACCGCACTAATTTTCCTTTTAAGTTAACTATAAGTGGTAAAACCTACCTGAGACTACAGTAACCGGACCTTTGACATCAGACAGCTGCTGACGGGTAAAATTCTTGAGCAGTGAGTTGATGAGTGTTGTTTTTCCCACTTTAGGTGGTCCAACCACGGCTATAATGTAAGGCGGCGGCTCTACTGGTGTTCGATCAACTGTAGGCTCATGGTGCCTTTTTGTTTCTACATCTTGTTTTCGACGAAATTGACGAGATGCCTTGACGGCCGACTTAAATGAGAAGGCTTTGGGATTTCTTTGAGCACTTGCATCTTCGGGTGAGTGTCTCTTCTTCTTCTTCTTTTCTGCTTTGGGTCCAGCTTGTTTTTTTCTGTGCGATTTCGAAGAAACGTCGCCATCTTCGTCCGCCATCTTGAAGTTCTCACGTGGAAAGACTAGAACCAGGCTTACTCGACCTTTTAATCAAATTACCTTTAGGGTAGGCTAAAGTATTAAATACATAATCTTTTAAATTAACAACTTTTTCCTGAGTTTTTAACTGTATTATGCGATAATAACAAAATAAACTTCATATTTATACAAAAAAAGGATGAAAAGGTCATCTGTGTATTTTGTAGGTTCTATTATCTGTCTTGTGTAATCTTATACTTTAGTCCTCCCCTAGTTGGTAATAGTTGGTCCGCACAGCCTCAGACCGTTCAACATGGCAGGAGTGTTGTTTGAAGATATTTTCGACGTAAAAGACATCGATCCTGAGGGTAAAAAATTCGAAAGAGGTAAGTTTCAACCAAGAATTTAATTGTTAAGAATGGTCAAATTCTTTTGGTTGTATAACCTCTGAGTCTTCTTTCTTTCAATAATGTAAATTATGAGTCCCAACTTTGCAAAGCTCCATAGCTTGTTTCGTTTCGTTGGACACTCACTGTTTCACTTTAATGGTATCTGAGCTAAACTTCAGAATACCTGGCCACTTGCTTGCATTTCGTTGAACTGATGATAAAGGGGCTGTTTGTTTTATGCCTCATACTCAAAACTGGTTCTACAAGGCAATCAAGTGGCTGGTAGCCTGCAGTGCAGGCGTCTTTTGGGTGGGCGAAAGCTTGTTCGTGTTCGTAATATTGTTGTAGAGTAGAAATAGTAACCCTTACGGTAGGTGCGGTTGGGCGAAAGAAGGTAAGGGGGGAGAGGGAGGGGAGAAAAAAAATACGCCTGCCCGATATCATTGTTCTTTTGGGAAACTCTGTACGCTGGCAAACGGAGCTCCTGATTGGTGCGGCATAGGGAAGTAGATTGATGCCTGTCAATTAACTGTAAGTCTACATTGTTTATTCCGTTTTCCGTTAGTCTTTGGAATTGGAGCAACTGGGAATGTCGCGTGTATTACGCAATGAGAAAGTCAAAGCGATTTCTACA